ATTTATATATAATTTAACAGTGTTAACGGCTATATTGATTTATATTATATGCAGCTATTTGTTTCTAGCCGTACCTATTGTGTAATGGAGTGTATCTGTTGGTATTTGAATTTGTTCAACCATGAAGCCTCCGTGGTCTAGTGGTTATGACACTCGCCTTGACAGCGAGAGGTCGCAGGTTCGAGTCCCGCCAGAGGCATTTTATTACACAATTTCTTTATTCATTTATTTACAGGACTACATTTGTTGAGAGCTATGCTACACGGTGTATTTATTAAGTCCTTTATTCGAACACTGTATTTACCTTTCTTTGATTATTTATATATGATTTAACAGTTTTAACGGCTACCTTGATTATATATATATACACTTTGATGACAAAAAAAAATAGTTTTTGACTGCAATAAATATGTCGAGAAGGTCGTTGCATTTTGCTTCTCAATTTAATAATTGGGGTTACAAATATAAATTTTGAACATAGGATCAAACAATCAGACAATCACTTCAGTCAATCAATCAATGAAATAATCAATCGATTATCTCCATCAATCCAAAAATATCTCTAAATGAATAAATAGAAAAATAAATAAATCATTAACAAATAAATCAATAAATCAAACGAACGGCCAAGAGGAGGTCAAGACTAGTGCGCCGCAATGTACATCCCTTATATCGCCTATGGTTCTAGTGGTGGGAACAACTGTTTTTGAATATAAATCGTAGGCCCAATGTAAACGATTTGGCTTATGTGTAATTTGCAGAACCCTGTACATCTTTCATGAAGAGTAGGGGTTACCCCGGTGTACCGGTCTATTCAGTCTCTGTAATGGCTGAGGGGGCAGCTTGGTATTTATTGTTTTACTTCAAACTTTATTATCTGATCTATTTCCGGAAATTTCATTGCTTGCATATACACACATATAAAACATACAATTCACAATATAAAATTACTAAAATACATTAGTTTAACATGAAAATCAATAATTACAATATCACTATTAATATTTATTTATCAAATATTTTAACGTTTGTGGTAACGAGGAAGTTAGGGAAAGGAAATTACTGTACGGGCTAGGCCACACCTCGTCTATTCTACATTTCTTTAAATTATATTCTTGAAAATGCAGTTGATGTTATATTTGTCACTGAAACCTGGCTACATTCAGATGACACTGCTGTCATTGCTTTCTGCTGGCCTGAAGGTTACACTTTCAGTAGATTTCCATGAGTAGGTAGACAAGGTGGTGGTGTTGAAATCCTCTCTCGAATTTCATCTTCTAATTGCAAAAAAATGTCATTTATTTATTTCGTTTATTTCGTCTGCGGTTTCAAATCATTTGAGACGTGCGAAACTTCACTAACTTGCTAATCTAAGTTTATATAGACCACCCCTACCACTGGTCGTAGCACAGCACCTCAGTTTCTGAGGTTGATACATTTCTCGAGATGTTCTCTCTTTATGAGAATCTGTTAATTACTGGAGACTTTCATTTGGATGATCTCCGTAATTCATACACTATGCATTTTCTTTATCTTCTTGATGCTTTTAACTTAGTCCAACTGATCAGCACACCTACACATATTCAAGACCATTATTCTTGATCTTATTATAACCATTATAACCAATTATACCAGTCTTATCCTTAATTCACATGCTTATCAGTATTATATTTCTGATCACTTTATTGTTCACATGACGCTTGACATCTCCAAAGCTACCACTCAAGTGGAGAAAGTTAGCATATCGTAAATACAAATACATCGATATATTAACGCCTTTAAACTCAAGTCATCTGAATCACTTAACCATTTTTCGGACAATATGGATGTTAATACCGCAGTTGACTTTAATAACGACACACTTCGATCTCTAAGAGATGAGCGTTAATACTGTCTATTCGTTACATGGCCGAAATCTGAATAATTTTTTCAACGACTAACAGTTGGTCAATGGTTTCAAAACTGTTTTCTCTGACAAAATTCAGAAACTTAAATGTAAGATGTGTCCACTATTCTTAAGAAATATCAATGACAGCATAACTAACCACTTTGCAGTTTTAAATGACAGTGATGTCACAAATTTGACCAATTTATGCATGTCAAACACTGTCAGCTAGACTCTTTTCCTACAAAGTTCCTAACTTGTCTCCCTGAAACCTTTCTTCCCATCTTTGGGAATGTAATTAATTCTTCGTTGTCATCAGGTGTTTTTCCCTACTGTCTCAAGACAGTTATTGTAGGACCTATTTTGAAGAAACCCTCTATCTATTCTGTCTAATTTCGTCCTGTTACGAACATTGTTTTTATATCGAGGTTTGTTGAGGACATTTGTTATCAAAGATCTAATTAAACATCTTAAAAGAATGATCTCTTTGACCCTTTTTGTCAGCCTATAGAAAGCTAAACGTTACTGAATCAGCTATTCCCAAGGTCCACAAAATGGCATAACACTCGCTCTTGATTCTGTTGAATATGTTCTTTCTGTATATCTCGACTTATCTGCCGCTTTCCACACAATTGACCATGTCGTCTTTAAAAGGCTCTCAACTTTCGGTGTTGTTGGAACAGCCCACAATTGGCTCCGTTCCTACCTGTCTTCAAGGTCACAATCTCTTTGCGTTAATCATGCTATATCTTGCCAACTTAAAATCAACTGTGGAGTTACTCAGTGATCGATTCTTGGTTCTATTTTGTTTCTTATTTATATTTACCCTCTTAGTCAAATTATTCAAAAACACTTCATTCACTATCATGTTTATGCTGATGATACTCAACTAACATCTCCTTTAAGTACAGTTCAGTTCATTTCTATGCAGCGAAATCCAAGATGGAAGCATTATCACTGGTATCAAAGTATAGTAAGTCAAAAACATGTTGTGATCGATCCTGAATCAACACCAAGGATTTTATTAAATCACCTTAAACGTTCCATCTACCTGGACGCCGTTCAAGACGAAATCTTCAGATTGGTAACACCACTATTATTCTGTCGTCGGAGATGCGTACCATAGGTGTGGTACTTGACTCATCCATGTCCATTGCTAAGCATATTATTGCTACTTGCAAATCAGTTATCTTTCATATCAAGAAGATTTGTCGATACCTAAATGAAGATGCATTTATATTTCCGCTTTCAAGCTTTTATAAACTACCTCTGTATCCACTCTTACTGTTCCCTCTAGTCGTACATAGTGCTCATTTAATTGCTGCTCCGAGACTTCGCAATGATTTGCCACAATCTGTTTGTAAATCTCCATTTTCAAAATGAGGCTTTCAGCTTCATTTATGTTTTCTTTCTGACTTTAACATTCTTTTTTTTTTGTTCTCCTTTTTTTTGCTTTCTGCTTTTCCACTTGTATAATATTTTCTCCCCTTTTTCATTTTTCCAGAGCACGCCATCAAATTGGCGCATTGAGACTTGTATAATGCGCCATAAAAGTCGCCTTATAAGTTTGGATTGGATTGGATTGAACCAATAAATTCGTTAAACAATTCAATATATACATAAATATGCGTAATATAAACATGACATAATGTATGGTCTATTATCAGACATAGCCAAGAGACACGACAAAACCCTAAAATTGAATAAAATGAAATAAAAAATATTTTATATAGTTATTCATCCATAGGGCATAAAAATATTTAGGTTTACGTTACGAACTCAAGGTGCACACTGAACCATTGGGATTATAAATGTCTGCTAGAAAAACAATACAGTAGTGAACTATTGTTTTTCTATTTAATCACTATAACGTTGTATAAAATAATGACAATTTAAAAAGTCATTATAATTTAATTGTATATTTGGAAATAGTAATAGGAAAAAAAATTATGAAGCTTGAACTGGGTGCATATTGTTGTTTTGTTGTATTAACCACCTGTACCTCGTAACTATACTCGTTGATCAGGGAGAATTAACCTTTTTCGAGGGGGGCCAAGTACTAGAAGGGCCACACCCATCTCAGTCCACTACGGTTGGAGCTGAAATTGAAAATAGCACACTTAACTTGGAACAAAAATTGATGTTTTTCAAAGTGTCTTAATTTAAAAGTATAGCTGTTCAATTTTAAATACGGTACATGAAATAGAAGAGAATGGTAAACACCAGGAGAGTCTACACCCACCTCAGCCCACCGCACGGTTGGGGAAGAGGCGGAAAAAACGATGGAACAACACTATAATTTATGCCCAGAAATTGCATTCTGAAGATGTATAATATTTTTTCTACATGCCTTATTTTCACAAAAATTTCAATTTTTAATTAGATTAAGTGTTTGTACTGTTGGGGAAGGCGGGGTGGGATAGGGAGGGGTGAGTACCAAACGTGTCAACACCCACCTCAGCCCCCGCTATGGTTTGAGTGAGGTGAAAAACAAATTTAGGATGGAGCAGCGTTAAATGCCGGAAATGGCATTCTCAGACCTAAATTATTATATATGGTTGAGGGTGGGCTGAGATGAAGAAATGTAGGGGTACAGTGGCAACTCTAATTGGCCTGATATGGCACTGTTAGATATAGCTACGGGGGTGCTAAGATGATTATGCCGTCCCTTGACCATTTTGTCACCGTCTTATCTATCAAAACTTTGATTAATTCTATTTCTGTCTTATACTTTTCAATATTTTATCATCACCACCATCATCGTCTTCTTCATTTACCTTGCAGAATTATGTTGATTTTAATAGCATATGATTATACTGTACCCCATACCTTATGCTTATAAACATTATTTTAATAAACATCTTTTGTATCATTGTCTGTTTAGATCGCTATGGACAATTGTAATGCTCGGTTTGTTTGCCTGGCTAATTGCTGGTTTAACTTCAAATATCTTGAACTTTGCTTCGTTCCCGGTGGCTACCATCGTCACGTTAAACTATGTTGAGAACCTAAGCTTCCCAGCCATAACGATTTGTAACTACAACCAATGGCGTGCATCATATATCAAAGACTCGGACGCTGAACTACTAAAACTCATGTTTCCGAGCCTACAGACATCAGACAGTGATATTGATTGGTCGGATTATGATTTTACGGAACGCAACATCACGGCCGATATCATCAGAGGAGCTCACCAGAAGGAGGACATGATTATAGAGTGTTCTTGGAAGAATATCAGTCCCTGTAGTCATGAGAATTTCACGATGACGATAACCGACTTCGGTGTCTGCTACACATTTAACCAACCGTCTGAGAACAGTAAGGCTTTGATGGTGAAACAGACTGGAAGTGATTACGGACTATCACTGCGTTTGAATGTAGAACAGGGTGAATACCTCAATGGAAATAACAAAGGAGCAGGCTTCAAAGTAAGAATAACATGCACACACATAGGATTTAAATATCATATAAGCTAAAATCAAATATGAGGTTGCAATATTAAATACAGTACATATAATAGTAACTGCTTGTACCCCAATTGTCAGACAAGCATTAATATGAAACTTACATGGTAATTAGGTCTATATAAATGAGCATACAACAATCATAGGAACTTGATCTAATTACTCTGGAAAAGTCTTTTTTGATTAAAATTCATAATATTATTTTTTTTTTAAATTATATCTTTAAGAACATATTAACTTCCTTTGCTTCTACAGTACTATTTAAAAAACTAACGTTGAAACTACTTATTATTCAGTAACTTGAACAGGAGTAGTACTCAGTTCGAATCGCCCAAGTTTCAGATCATTTGCATTTTAAAATTTTACCTAAAACCACTAACTGACCATTTTGTGGGCTAGGATGCTAGAATTTGTCGGTATAAACTCTTCACCGAGTAGTCTTATTGGTTTACGAACTGGAACTGATTTCGCCGTCGGGCCTATTCGCATTCAATTTGTTTTGAGTGGGCCAGTTGTTTTATTCAGTTCGTATTTACAAATTTAGTTTGTTGCTGTATCAATGACTTACCGTACAGCAAAACGTCTATAACAATTACAGTGGTGTCAGTGAGGGTAGAGAGAGGCTGATCGGGAACAAATTCTGTTTATGATACACCGTGTATAATATAATAACTTTTCACACATAGAAAGTCATTTCCTACATTCAGAATTCGACGGTGAAGAGTTCATCTGTGTAGTTTAATATGCACCACCTATCGTTCTATACTGTAAAACACGGTGCACGAGAATAGAAACAACGCAAAAATTAAAAAAAAAGATATATTGGCACAACAGTTGGCAAGGCCGTAGGAAGCAGTTTGGCTGTTCCGGTTTTGGCCGGACCAATATTACACCAATCAATCTTGGTTGTATTCCAAAATTGTCCTTTTGACACAACATTTTTGTAAAACAAATTACAGTACGGTCTCACTTAAACCTTATGAACGAGGTCCGGTTCTTTCCTTTATGTCAGCACACCCACCCACACACACACACACACACACACACAAACAAATCCACAAACACCCATACTGAAAGCATATTTTAAAAGAATTATACTTTTTGCAAATTGAAATTCGTTTTTTTCTGGGGCCCATTGTTCCTTGGAGCCCCAGAAAACAACAGATGCCGTGCACCGACGGTAGAGGTCGCACTCCTAGCGATCAGAACTCAAACCATCAACAGTTCATTGCCTGATGAAGTGTTGCTGCTGAAAGCACACGAAAAGTCGCAAGCCCAATTGAGCTCAAATGTACCAGGAATAATCCTTAGGACCTTCTAAACACACACACACACAAAAACTCTTCACCTCACAGGTCAAAGTTCATAGGTCAAAAGGTCAAAATAGCCCACTTGAGCTCGAATTTACCAGAAATGATCCTTAGGACCAACAACAACAACAAAAAATACTCTTCGCCTATAGGTCAAAAGTCACAAGGGTCATTTTTGGTGAAAGTTATCAAATATTGCTAGAGTAACGATTGATAGCGGCAGTTTGGAGCAGCGGTTGAGGTTTGGGCTTTCAATCGTAAGGTCGGGGCTTCGAGTCTCCGCTGTGCAGATTCGCTTGTGTCCTTGGGCAAGGCACTTTAGCCACTTTGCTTCAGTCCACCCAGCTGTATCAATGGGTACTATGAAACTGCTGGGGACTAACCTGCGATGGACTAGTGTCCCGTCCAGGGGGAGTACAACTCTCATCCGCACACTACATAAACTGGGGAAAAGCTACAGCCCTATGAGCCCCATTGGCTCAGAAAGGATTTAGTAGTAGTTAGTAGTTTAGACTAACGATCGGACCAATGGCATTAGACAGTCTCTTAACAAACACGGGTTGTTCATAGCTTGAGGTCAAAGGTCACAGTGGTCACCTTGGGGTCAAATCCTGAAAAATGTTCTATTGAACATACCGTAGTATATCTCTAGTTTATTTTGTGGTTTAGTTAAAACGAATTTCAATTTACAATATTAGATTATTCAAACCAGATGAAACTATTTCAATATATAACATTATACTTTTTGTTATTCAATAGAGAGCACTTGTATACACATAACATAAAAAATAACTGCACTAAAACCACTATATATTTAAAAACTAGTAGATTTTTTTTTTAATTTGGTATGACAAGAGCATGGTCTTCCGTGTCTAATAGGTCCCAAGTTGGAGGAATCCACATCTGGGAGATCTGTTTAAATGAGTTTTCTTAATACACCTAAATATATTTTGCTGTACATGTTGATAAGCATTATGATTGGTACTAACTGTTGGGAGAAAATTGATAATAGGCCTACAGTAGTGAAAAAAGTAAAAGCATGCAAATATCAAAATCTGTAAAAACATGCAAATATTATCATAAATTTGCGGGAGATGATTATGTTTCGGAAGGTTCCTGCTTGTTCGCGTGGGTGCGGGAGTCCTCCCTGTCAATTTCCTGGAGACTCCATTCCGGGACTCTGCACGAGACATGAAACGCCTGGGCCGGCCCTAAATGTGGTCTTTAGATTTCTTTATTTAGAAGTAAAACATTAAATGTTTTAAAATGGATGTACCGCATGCTGTTATTTAGGACATTTAAGTGTAGCTAGACTTCCAACTTGGTCTTTCTATTAAAATATTACAAAAATGTTCACTAACATTATCGTTGTTCAATATACACAATACAATGTAGGCCTACACACTACAGTGCATTACAATTTATTACAGAAAAAATGCATTTATAGTGAAAATCAGGGCCCCTGTGACCATTTTTTCGGGACCAAGGTTTCTCTACTGATCTAGCATCACAAGGATATAAATAAAAAATTGAGCAGGGCTTCCAGAAAAAGGGCGGAACACATATTTCATAACTTCACTATATTAAATAAAAAAGGGCAAATCTGGTGTATGTTTTTGGGGACATTGAATTCAATGAGACATTTTTCAAAAACCTAAAATGTCAGCCATTTTGAATTCGGGATGGCTGCGGTAACAATTTTAAAAAATCAAATAATATTTCAGTATCATTCCACATCTCCTCTTTGAAAAATGGCGAATTTGGATCTAATCATGTTTTAGGCTTTCCGAGTCCAATAAACATAGTTTCAAAAAGCAAAGATGGCAGCCATTTCGAAATTCAAAATGACAGCCGCAAAAACCGTCGAAAATCGCATATTTTGGTATGTACGCCTATTTTCACTTCTCCTTAATCAAAAGTGGCAAACAAAGCTAGGATGGCAGCCATTTTTGAAATACAAGATGGCAGCCACAAAATGTTTGTTTATAAATCCTGATTGTTTTCTTATACCAGTAATTAGACTCAATAAATTTTACAAAGATATGATTTCCTAATTATTTTCATATGATCAGATATTAACGCATCCACAAGGGGTGTTTCCATTCGTCAAACAGCTTGGGTTTGCCGTGTCACCAGGATTTGAAACATTGGTCAGTTTGAAATTTACTAAGGTATGTTATGTCATAATGTAAGCCGAGCACAAACTGTGTCGTACGACATTCTTTTATCCACTCTGTAATAATCTTGTTTTCCACTAGGAATATTTATTGGTGCGAATCGAAACCGTCGATTCATGCGCATTCACATTTCTATCGGAGTTTTCGCTTCAGTTTTTTTTCGAAGCAAAACAATACGCAACCAATCAGAGCTCAGGAAGCAAATCGACGCTTTCGATTAGAGTGAATAAATTCACCTACTGGAAAACCATAGAGCTATTAAACAACTAGAGTGCTGACAAAATGGCGAAGCAATGCAGAGTTGTGTATATGTACCATCCAAGATGGCTGACGTAGAAAAGCGCCACCTTCAGGCTTAGTATACATATTATTACCATAAATAAGCCCTCTGATAGACTATTATTTCATTAATAATAATAAGTAATGGTAATAACAAATTAATAAACATTCATAGCCAAGAAGAGGCCAAGTAGAGCATCTTATTCAAAAATAACACAAAAATTAAAATCATGTACATTACGCCAACACACCGCAACGCTCGATTTTCCATCATACGGGTAACTAGCTGTACTGACCTTTCTGTGTAAATTGAGGGCACCATTGAAAATGATAGTGCTTAGGCGAAATTTGATTGGCTGAATCTATGGCAGCCATCTTGGATGGTACACACACACAGCTCTGCGTATTTCGAACTTCGAATACATTGCAGTTAGCGCTCTAGTATTCTTATTATATCTCTATGTGGAAAGCAGGCTTGGGAGTGCTATTAAAAACAATTCGTTGCGCGCACATCGTCGCGTTGCGTTCTCCGTCGGCGGAGTGTGTGCATTCCCTTGCATCTAGCCTATCCCTATGCAATAATAATGAGATGGCCGATAGACTAAACAAAACATGAAAGGGATTGGCGCAGCGGGAACGGTTTGATTTCTTAACATTGATGTCGGGGGTTTCAAACCCTGGCTGTGCATTTCGCTTGTGCACCAATGTACTTTATCAGCATTGCTTCTTCCCACCCAGTGTATAAATGGGTACCTGTTGGGGTAGCCTGCTCCTGGGCAGCAGCAACACCTAAGCACGTAGAACCGATGACCTGTGACAGAAGCGCTACGGTACATACCTGCAAAGGAAGGCGCTATAACGATATACCGAATAAAATAAAATAAATAAACATAAATTTGGATTTTCCTTCAATTGTTTGTGTTCTTGTGCACATATTTTAGAATAGTACAATGCAATCAGTAATTTAATCAGTAACAATTTTATCTTCTACCACGATCTTTAGCTTAAAAATCTTCCGGGGCCCTACGAATTTAAGTGTCTGGAGAAAAAGCTAAAGTACGCAGCCAAATACACAGTGGAGGCCTGTCAGACGGAATGTAGAGTGGATTATATCATCGACAAATGTGGATGCAAGAATTATAATATGCCAGGTATGACTTAGTTTGTTAGAGGCCTTCGTCAGTATATCTTTACATTACTCACAATACAGACATGGCAGAAGACAATCCATACTCTTTTTTGAATTATATACTGGTACTCAGATTTTCTTTTTCGAACAATCAGTGTCATAAATCAATATGACAGAATTACACAAACGAAGATCGGCTTTGGGAGATTTAAACTGTAAAGAATCCTACCTAAAAAGGAATCCCTATGATCTAGTATCCTGTTTGAGAATTTCCGAAGCGAAATGTTTGAAAGATTAGCAAAGTAAAATTGGTTAAATCATTTAGAAGATAAAAGTTGGTATATCTTACTTGATTCTTTAATAATGCACATACCGTTAGGACACTTTGATGATCCTCCTCTCCTTCACCCCACCATCCACCTTTTTCACGCAAAAAATTAATTAACTTTCCCAACTAAATCGCAATTTATTCCCATGTTTTTGAAAATTTGTTTACAGGTAACGTTCGAGTATGTTATCCTAAAGAGATCTACGAATGTGTGAAGCCAGTTAGCGGTAAGAGTCCTTGATAATCTTTATCGATAGATGTTATTCACTTATACTAAATCATCAGAGTAAAACAATACTATTATAAACCACAGGAAGTGGAGTAAAAAATATAATAATTACAGTAACAAATATAAATTGGCCTACAATAAGGACAATAAAATAAAAACATAAGTAATGAATAGGAAATAAAACAATCGAAACAATCTACATTGAGCAAGAAATTTCAGTGATTTGAATTTGATTAGTGCCCTCTGTTGGTACTTAAAGTGTTTACATCTGTTTGCAATTTTATTTTCGTAGGATGGCGAAACAAAATCACATCAATTATAAATAATTAGTATCCTTAGAGAACATAGTTTGAGCATGCGCTATTTTCAAGTCTACGCCAGCCTGTTTGATGAGCTGCTCTGTACACCGCGAGTCATGATGGGGCTTAGGCCTAGCCTATTTTCTTAAATGGGTCCCATGCTTTTAACATTTATTTTCTGATTAATTTGCTAGAATAGTACAGTGTATTAGTTTGACAGATTTTAGAATTGATATCATTAAATTGATCAATTAATAAGCCTGGTAAATTCAAAATGAAAGACTTGCATTCATAGATAAACTATACCTAATTTTTTGCAAGAAAAATAATGGACTAATCAGATGGCTCCCATGGACGGTTACACTGAATAATTGATTGCTGTGCTCTGACCGTGATCTCTTACTCAACATAATAACAGTACAGAAATGTACAAAGTTGGATATGATAAGGCGTAACACAAAATACACAAACATAAACGTGTACGCTGATGATCATGATCATTTGTGAGGGTTGGTGGTATCTGATGTCTCTTTATCACTTATTTACTTTCCTAAAACTTTAAAATTTCTTTTACTTGTATGGAATATATAACATTTCCCGGTTAGTAATTTATGACTTGATGTGATACCCCCCCCCCACATAGAAAGCAATACGACATAGGGCTTATTTTATTATTACACACGTGTGTTTGAAACTAAATACAGTATAAGCATTTTCATCGTGGTTTTATTTATTACAATCATAGGCCTATTCTTCCACCATCATTACACATTGAGGCCCTTCTTTTAGGTAAAACGATCTATCTTAAATTTTCTTTCTCAAGTTTGGGACTATTATGTTTTTAAATAGCTTAGAAGGCAAAGGAGGGCAAGCACAAGCCTTAACCCTAAGAAATGCGCGCGAAGCGCGCGTAAAATTTTTGTGTTGTTAATTCTAATTTCGTCGCAATTGATCAAAACTCCCTAAATGTGCAATTTTTAGAGGAAATTGGCCTACCTCAACAAGAAATGCTCTTATGTTATACATGGCCACACTCGTTCTTTTAAACTGTATATTAACATTTTCCTTATAGCTTTATTTATTACAAACATATTCTTTCAACAGCATTACACATTGAGGCCCTTCTTTTAGGTAAAACGATCTATCTTAATTTTTCTTTCTTTGAGTTTGGGACTATGTGTTATAACTTAGAAGGCAAAGGAGAGTAAGCACAAGGTTTAACATTAAAAAATGCGCGCGTAGCGCGCGAAAAATTTTTGTTTTTTAATTTTAATTTCGTCGGAATTGATCAAAACTCCCTAAAATGTGCAATTTTTAGAGGAAATTGGCCTACCTCAACAAGTAATGCTCTTATGTTATATAGGGCCACACTCGTTTTTTTGAACTGAATATAAGCATTTTCCTTATGGATTTATTTTACAAACATATTCTTTCAACATCATTACACATTGAGGCCCTTCTTTTATAAACGATCTATCCTTAAATTTTCTTTCTTGAGTTTGGGACTATGTGTTATAATTTATAAGGCAAAGGAGAGCAAGCACAAGCTTTAACATTAAAAATGCGCGCGTAGTGCGCGAAAAATTATGTTTTCTAATTTCGTCGGAATTGATCAAAACTCCCTAAAATGTGCAATTTTTAGAGAAAATTGGCCTACCTCAACAAAGTATTGGATTTAAAATTTGAGATTTTCATGCACTTTCCCGGGTGAAAAGGGCATTCAATGGGGAAATAATTTCCACAGATGGATATTTTCCCCTTGTTCCCCGGTGGTTACACCACTGCGGAGAATATCTGGCGGCTTAGATCAAATGCGATATGGACACTTTTTGAAGTGGAGAAGGGGTTGCAGGCCGGGGTATTGTGATATCTGTTCATTATATCTTCCTTTTTATTCTTGTCTTTATTTTTTTCTTCTCTTTTTTTTTTCCTTTTTCCTTTCTTTATCTTTCCCCTTCTTTCTCTTTCCCTCCCTCTCTCCTCTTTCTTTTCTCTTCTTACCCAGCCCGGTACGACGGCTTGGTCCACCCGGTAAAAACCGTCGGGGG